TATCCAAGTTACCCTTTAAATGGAGTGTTGTCTTTGAAGAGCATGAATGGACCATAAAACCAGTGACCCGCGGTGTTAATAACAGAGTGTGAAGTGAATGTTGATGGTGCCATTACTCTCAAAAGGGCAAACAAGGTTGTCTAAACATCTTCAGCTATTTAATGAAAATAGATCTCTTCAAAAGTATATCTCCAATATAGTCTCTTGGTTTCTCTCAGTTTTCTTGTGATACTTGGGGGAGTTCTTTGCACTTCTTAGGAGTGGGGTTGACTTAATTTCTTTTGATTTATGTATTGAACACAAGGACTTCATTAGTTACTGATTTTTAGTTTGAATTTCAAACTGAATTCTATTCCTTGTAGCTTTTTGTTTGCACTGACTTTTTCTCTATTAATCATTACAGGACAGAGCTGACACTTCTGGATCTGTGTGTCCTCACTTCTTCCAGGGAACATTAAATTATATCTAGAAATATGTGATAACCACATGATTTTTTTCAAGGAGAAATCAAGGGGAAACTGCTGGGCACGGTTATCAACAAGGCACTGGGCAAGAAGGCAGGTGGGAAATGACAGTGAGGACAACAGATCTTCAGAATAATGAACTTCTTGGCATTCATGTTCTTAAAATGTTTGGGGTTTATTGTCTATTGCCTCTTTTAGTGACTGATTTTTGTTTAGACTGAGGCAACTTCATTTGCATCCATAATGTTAGTGGTACTCCTGGATATAATTTAATAAAATATTTGGTCCTGTATTCATCTCATTTAAAATATCCAAGTATAAATAGGATCAGTCTCAGTATAAAATTATTCTAATTTGTTGAAAAGCCACAAGTCAAAATCTCATGAAAAGCCAGTATCCTGTCATGGAAAGCTGGGAATATCAAGCCCTGGGCAACCTGGTGTGACCCCAGAGCTGCCTCTGCTTTGAGCTGGAGGTTGGATAGGAGCCCCCTGAGGTCCCTTCCAGCTACTTCTCCTGTGAGCCCATCATTTTAGGAGGACACACACCATAGATCCAGTAGCAGGCAATTACAGGGACTGACTTCTCCCTTAATATGAAGGTTTCCCCCGACATGCTGCACTTCAAGCACTCAGGGGATATTTCAGGATCATAAGGATTGTGACTGAAACCTGCTGTTATTTCAGCTCTTTATGTTTGTTTCCATAAGTGCCATGGGTGGCTTGGCCACAGCCCCAGAAAACCACCTTGTAGGTGGAAGCAGGGAGAGAAAGGAGGAGAGGAATATTAAGGAATCAGACACCTGACTGAGAGCTCCCTCCAGAAGTCCCTTCTGGTGCAGTTTTCTCATTCATGGTGGAAAGTCCTCCAGAATTATGGCTTATTTTTTTATGTCATAGGGGAAATATTTCCATGTGGGAGTGAGGAAGTAAGGGCAAAGGCAAATTGGCTTGGAGGAAAAGCCATTTTTCTGCAGTCCTGATATATCTGATAAATGGTCTTAAGGAGTAAAGTGGTAAAAAGGAAATGCATTTACTCTGCTAGATGTCAATGATAGGAGGCAGCAGCTTGAAAATCCTGCTTTAGGCAGAACCCCAGCTAAACTATGTCAGGATATGCAATGGATAAGCAAATGGCTAATTTTCACTTGGAGAAATCTTAATAGCAAGTTTACAGTCCCCCCCCCTCACCTTATGGTGCTGTAGATAATGATTTGCACCACAGGAGGAGAGGTATTTTATCTTGACAAGAGCAAATGTCAGCCTTCCATGAACACCTCATATTTGTGAGCCTGATCAAAGAATGATTTTTCTCTGATACATGGTGCAATGTCTGGAAAAAAGCAGTGGGTCTGTGTGAAGTATCTGACAAAATACCTCTTTTTGTTTACTTAATTGCGTGTTTGTCCTGCTATCCCCACTCTCCCTTTTCCATGGTCGGCCTGAAGCTGTGCCCTTGAGGACACACTAAGAGGGGCCCTGTAATTTGGCATGGCTTCCTTTAAAGTTCTGCTTCAGGGGAGATCTCTTTGGTGCCTCTGAAGGCGCTTTTCCACACCCTGTCATTGCCTCACCACAGTCCAGGGCTCGTTCCCACTGTGGAGAATCCCAGGAAGGGAGGGAAGCCAAGGAGGCAGCGCAGGGTCTGGGGGCTCCGGCAGCTCTGGACACACACAGGGACACTGCAGCAGGCAGTGGGCTGAAACAGCCTGAAATTAGAACAGCAAACTTCACATAAAAGGCAAGGCAAAGAGGTTTCTTAACCCATTCCAAGGTTAGTTGGTGAAGCACCCCGCAGCACACTGCGTGGGGGAGAATGAGGGATGGGGGAAGGCAGTTGCTAAATGTCCTTTGTCACAGGGGAAAAAAATAAATCATGAAACACTACCCATAATTTTCTTGAAGAAACAGGATTAAGATTAAAAATAATTATATGAAGTAACGTGAACAGTCACAATGTAGAAAAAAAAAGGTTTTTATTTCTCCTTGCGTCAACAAGAAGGGAAGAGGAATTTTTGACTTTTAGTTACTCAGCTCTTTATCAGGAGTCTGAGCTGTTTCCTTGACCAGGGAGAAATCAGAGTTTTGATAATCAGAACTGACTCTGGGAGTTCTAATGGAAATCCTGGAGTTCCCCTGCTTGCTGGGGGTGGTGTTTATTCCAGCATTTGCTATCTGTAAAACCACAAAATCTATAACCAGAGCCGTTCCCTGGGAATCGCGCTTTGGAGAGATTTCAAATGCCGAGAAGGAGAGTCAGAGATAAAGCCTGGGTTTGCAGATGCCCCCTCCTTGGCAGAGTTCAGGGGCAGCTGATCAGGCCTGCGAGCAGCACGTGGCTCCACACAGGTCTGTGGCTGGAGCAGCTGTGCCAGGGAGAAGGGGGAGCAGGGCGACCCCAGGAAGTGGGCTCACACCTGCTCTGGGCACTCATGGAGCTCTGGGAACTCCTCTTGTGCTCAGCAGGGCATCTCTTGGGTGCTTGAATTAAGTGCATTTGGAGGATTTAGAGCACAGATGATGGGGTCAAACTCCCAGACTTGCTGTCAAAGGGGAAAGGGTAACTACTCAATGAGAACAATTTTATTCATGTTTTTGTCATCTCTGCATGACTCCAGATCAGCACTGAGCTTGTCTGACACATTTCAGAGTCCTTTCCTACCAAGAGACAAGGTGAGGGGGTCTGCAGACAGTGGTTGACGTGGAAGACAAAAGGACCCAAATAATGGCACCACCGTGGATTCTCTGCATTTTTCTGGTCAATGTTCCCTCAAATGGCACATAGAGGATGTGGAGGAGGAGGCTGCCACATCAAACAGGCGCTTTCTGAGCTGGCAGTCCTAGGCTGGCTTTCTAAACATACACTTGCCCTTCTTTGTGACAGTATTTACAGAGGGCAGCTCTTCCCTACCCTGTGTCCCTACCCTCACCAATGAGACAGACCACCAGATCATCAGTGGTGGCTAGGGCAGCTCAGCCCCTCAGTGCATCACAGCAGGGGACCTGTAAGATAATGGAGAAAATGAGAATTCTGGCTTGCTCTGTGCCGAGGAGTGGCTTGCTGCCCTCTAATTGTGGCTACAGCTTTGCCAGACACTCGGCTTTGTTAATACAATGTGAATGCCACCTACGTGCCCCTCACCGGCATCCTTCGGTTTGCTGTGCTTTGAGGAGGTCTCAGCTGAGTCATTTCAGCCTTTTCTTCTCCCCTTTATCTTTGCTTTTTTAAGACCACGTTTTTCAAAGAATTGAGTTCCAATTTAGGCACTGAATTTGTGCAAAGCCCCAGTGTAAAAATGGGTCTTTGACGTCAACATTGAAGTAGAACTCAGTCTCATCTTTTCATGTCTGGAGAAGAATTGGCATCTTTGGGAGCTGTCACGTTAAGAGTGCAGGTTATGGGTGAGCAGCAGCTGAGGTTTGAGCCTGTCAGACTCTCCCACTGACTCACTGTGAGCTCCAAAAGCCCAGGTAGGAAATACTTGTTTGGACGTTAATCAAAGGATCATAGACTCTGGAATAGTTTGGGTTGGAAGGGACCCAAAAGCACATCCAGTCCCATGGACTACCATGGGCAGGGGCACCTTCCACTATCCCAGGTGGCTCCAAGCCCCATCCAGCCTAGCTTTGGACACTTCCAGGGATCCAGGGGCAGCCACAGCTCCTCTGGGCACCCTGTGCCAGGACCTTCCCACCCTCACAGGGAACAATTCTTTCTTAATCTAAACCTGCCCTCCTTCAGCTTAAGGCCACTCCCTGTTTAGCAGGAAACAATGCAGCAAATAATACAATACCATTTAGAAAGAAATTTACCAATTTCGGTATATTTGAAAACACTTCAACTTAAAATCTGCTAAAGCAAAACAGAAAAAATGTGAGTGAATGAATGGAAGGGAATTCTAAGGTAATCATCACAAAGGGTGAAAGTGATAGAATTAATAATGACTTAAAATTCCACTTTTTGAATGGAAGTGTAAAGTGGAGCAAAGGGGACTGAGTGGTCAAGCCACACCTTGGTGGACCTGGCCGAGGTTCACAGGGCACAGTCACCGCTGTTTCAACACCCATCCTTTCAAAACCAAGAGTCTGTAAGTGAAAGTGTTACACGTGCAAACATTCACGAGGTACTTGAAGAGCATGAAAGTGTTGTGTGGACACATCTACTGAATCAAACACCTTGAGAGAAGCACATTCCCACAGTAACATCCATCGCTGCCGCGACAGCAAGGGCTTTTTAACGCAAGGGATATTTTAATGCATATTCCATTTATCTGATTACTGTTTTCTACCACATTAGTCGCTCGCTCCGGCTCCGGCCAAGCGCTCCCCACGGCAGCGCTCGGGGCTCCTCCGTCCCCTCGGCCCGGGCACCGCAGCGCCCGGAGTGACGGAGCCGCCGCAGCCCCGCCGCTGTCCCCTCTCACCCCTTGTCCCCGCACAGCCCCTGTCCCCCTCTCAGCTCTGTCCCCACGGCCCCGGCCGCCGCCTGGATCCTCCTTAAGAGGCGGTGGCGGCGCGGGCCCCTCCCCGCCCGGAGCGCGGAGTGGCCCGCGGCGGGAGCGGAGCGGAGCGGGACGCGCCCGGCGGAGCCCGGCAGCCGTAAGCGCGGGGTGGGAGCGGGGCTCACCGCGGCTCCGGCGGTCGCAGGGCGGGCGGGAGCGGAGCCGCCCCCGCGGCGGGACGGGACGGGGCTGGCGGAGCCCCCGCGGGGAGCAGTCCCTGCGCGGACAGCCCCGGCCCGCTCTGCTCTGCTCCGCGGAGGGGGCTCCGAGAGGTACGGAGGCGGCAGCGCGGGGGAGCGGGGCGGGAGCGGGACCGCGGGGTCCCTGCACGGGTCCGCAGCTCCATCCCGGCCGGGGCGGGGGAGCGTGCCCGGCCCCTGTTCCCGGCTGGCACGGACACTGGCAGGCGGTGAAGCACTCGGCCGTGCGAGCTGTGGGGAAGTGCGGCGGGGCGGCTGCAGAGGGAACATTTCGCAAAGTGTCTGCGAGAGCAGCTTTTCTCTTGGGTCCGATGCGAGACGAATGTCTGTAAGAGTTCCTGCTCACGGCCTTTAGCAGGTTTCTGTTCACTTACATTGGTGTGGTCACGGACCAAAGTCACGGAATGGTTTGGGTTGGCAAAGACCCTAAAGCCCATCCAGTCCCACCCACTGCCCTGCGCAGGGACACCTTGCACTACCCCAGGCTGCTCCAAGCCCGGTTCCATGGGGTTCCCTGTGCCTCTTTGGGATTCCCACACTCACACGTGCAGGGTATTTGCTGTGCCCAGCCCTGCTGCACCTGTGCAGCGCTGCTGCCCCAGCGGTGGGATCAGTTCTGTGCTCCCCCAGCTTTGCATGGGCTTTGTCCCCTCCCTGGTGAGCGGGAGCTGCTGGGGCTGCCTGACCCCTGCCCAGAGCTCGACCTTGTGCCTTCACTTTGGGGAAAATCCCTTCGGCAGCCTGAACTGCTGAGTGCGGAATTTCCCATGTGGATGACGGGATGCAGACTCTGGTTCCAGCTCCAGCCCCAAGGGAGGAGCAGTGCTGTGGGTAGCACCTGTAACTGCAGTGGATGTACCTGGCAGAAGATGCTGTTCTGCAGCTCAGTAGGGTGAGATGCACGTGAAGCTGTTGATGCAGGGGATCAGCTGCTTTGTGGTTACCCAGAGCTGTTCAGCCTGCTGAGGATTCCAGACAGAAAGCATGAATCTAAAACTGATGTGGTTATTTTCATTAGTGAGAGGTTTTCAATATATGGTGTAGAGATAAATGCTCTTCTAGCACTGTCATCTCTCCAAACCTTCACGTTGGCCCTGTCCACCTTTCTGCACTCTCGTGTTCTCCTATGGCAGGGATCCATAACAAAAGAGAAATGCAAATATTGATTTATGCTTGAATCACATAAATTAATCTCTCCTGCATGGCCGGTCTGCACTGGAAAAACACCAGTTTGACTCTTGGCACCAAGTGCTGTTTATGACTTGTTTTTCTTTAAAAAATTAGAAAAAAAGCCAAAAAAAAAAAAAGTTCTCCAATGCTAGTGCATCACTAGGGTTGCATATTTAACTTGAATATGTTCTATTGAACATTGTTATCATGATTATAATTTTCACAGCACTTTGAATAGGTTACTTCTGCCAGTTGGCCTAAACCAGCTAGTATGGGAAGTATTTCAGGTTTTTCCCTAGTTTTTCCCTTCAGTTTGTGAATTTTCATCCTACAAAGGGGAAAAATCACGAGCATGGGGTGAGCACTGAGTGTTTCCCTCAGAAGTATTCCTGCAAAGCCATTGAGCAAACTTCAGTGACACTTTGGATAACCTCAATTCTTCTGACAATGCCAAGGGCTGACACAAGTGCAACGCAGAAATGGCCTTCTGGGTGCACATTGCTGCAGGAATAATGGGAATGGCTCCATTGGGGTGTTTGAATTGATGTGCAATATCCAGGGATGTGGCAACCTCGGTGACTTCCATGGAGGTTGGAACGGGACAGCCTTGGCAGTGGAACTGGAGATTTGGGAACTGAGAATTCAAATCACATGAAGTTAATTGAATGGCTTGGAAAATACCAGGGAGAGCAACAAATAGTATCCAGAGAAGGAGGTGTCTCCCTTGTATCCAGAAGTTCAAGTGTATTAAAAGTGACTACAAAGTATAAGAAAATACTTTGTTGTCCCTGGAAAATTTCTAGCCCAGGAGGTAAAAGCTTTACAGTATGGTATGGCCTGTGTGAATATGGAGTTGAGAGATTACATTCCAATTTATTTTTTACCTGACACATAACACTGCTGTGGAGCAGAGTCTCCCTATCCTTCAGGGCACGTATCCTCCATATCTGAGGACGGGGAGTGGTCTTGAGGGAGCAAAACTGAATTCTTAACTAATTGTTTAGTTGACATTGATGGGCAAGTTGGTGTCAAAAATATTGGTGCCTTACAGTCTGGACATGATTTAAACTATAAAAGCAGGTCCTTCCCTACAGCTCTGGTTCAGCTAAGGATTCAGCTTCCAGTTAAAGCCTGGGGGCCACTCATGGAACACACTTTTAAACTGAATCTGCCCTGGTCTGGTTTTATTTCATTTGTCTCTTTCCAAGGAGAAGCTGCACATAATTTGTGGAAGAATTTGTCTTTGATTTGGTGGGCAGGGGCAGCAGGATCTTGCTGTGAGGTGATGAACTCTTGTCTGGGTTTGCAGTGGCACTGATATAACTGTGTCTTTCTCAGTAGTCTGAAAAACAAATCCCAGAACCTGCTTTGGTAATGGAAATGACCTCATTGCTGCCCTAGGTTATAATAACGTGATGTAGTAACAGAATACTTTCAAAAGAATTCTTCCTTTTTTAAAAATAAGAAAAAAAGCAGCCCCTCATCACCTTGGTATTCAGACTTTCCTGAGGATTTTCATTTACTGTTTACCTCAGAGAGATGACCCAAATTTCCTGACTGTACCAATTTCCAGTAGCCTGTGTGTCAACGTCTGGAGCAGAGTTACTCAGTCCATGAGGCAGGGATGGGAGGTGGGCTCTAGGACAGGGGAAAGTGGTCCCCAAAGCAGGACCAAACTAAACACCAAAAGCTTCCAATATTTTTTAATAGATTATGGGGAAAACAAAAGGATCTAGTGAACATTTAAACTTTACTCTAATTTTTTTTTAATGAAAAATATTGTGGTGATATGGCAAGTGAGACTCCATGGACTTTTTTTAGAAATATCTATTAGTTCTCCCATTTGAACATATTGTGGAGGTGTCCAAGGCCAGGTTGGATGGGGCTTGGAGCAGCCTGGGCTGGTAGAAGGTGTCTCTGCCCATGGCAGGGGTGGCACTGGATGGGCTTTGATGTCCATTCCAACCCAAATCACTCTGGGCTTCTGTGATATTTTATAGAATGACACAGTTTCTGTAAAAAATAAGCCAATATTTTTGATGAGGGGAAAATACCAACCATATATTGATAGATGTGCAGATTTGACTAATTTTCTCATGGGTTCATTGTGGGCTGCCAGCAGTGGTGCTTCCTCAGCCTGTGCTGGTCCTGTCTCAGCTGGCAGCAGTGCCAGGGGACACAGACACTGCAGCTTTTCTCCCAGGTGTTTTCCTTTGCCAGAGAGTGGGTTGTGGGGACGACACTTCCCTCTCTGCCTACGCTTCTGCTGCGTGCTGGTCATTCCAAGACTCTCAGCACATGTGGGGAAGGATGTTTTTGGGCTCTGGACTGACAAACAGCCAGAGTGGGAGTCAGCGTGGGAGTGTCCCAGACTCTTAAAGCGATCCCTGGAGGAAAAGCAGGTGCTTCCATGATAAAGTGATTCCAAACAGATATCTCTCAGAGCACAGAGGTGATGCTCTGGGAGCGCCTTTTGCTCTGTGCAAGGGCACAGTCTCTGGGGTTGGTGCTGGAGCTGGCTGAGAGGGGCCTGTGCTGTCTCTGAGCACTGGGCTGCTGTCCAGGCTGCACAGCTCTGCTGGCAAACCCTCTTTAGTTGTGATGTTTAATCTCCTTCCAGATGAGTGGTAGCACTGGTGGCTTGTAGAGAAAAATACAGAGCCGCTTTTTCTCCTGCTAACAGCATTGCTTCAGCGTAGGATGCTGAAAGTATTTAAAAATACAGCTAAGCCTGCAAACAAAAATAATTTTCTTTCTAGCTTCCCTAAATATGCAGCTTTAGGAAGGAGACACAAAACAAATGGTCAAAAGCTTTCACACGCACAAGTTCTGAACTATTTGAGATGTATCAGTCGCATCTGTGTTTTTTTGTGGTTACCTGATAGTAAAGCTGTTGAACTGACTCATTTTTGATATTCATCTGGTATTTTCCTTAGAATGATTTCAGCATAAATCAGTAAGACTAATTTCTTTTCCTATTAATATTACCAGTGCTCATATCCTTTGCCAAGATGGGTAGGAATGTGCACTTCTGTAATAAATTATCCTTTTCTATTTACTGGGATTATAAAGGTCCTTATTTATGCACACACACAGATCTGTACAAATGTATATTTCTTCCAGTTAGGGGCAGTCCCAACCCCCAAGGGATTGCATTTTACTAAACATGCATGAAGGGCAGGACTGATAAGTGGAATGTTGGGATAGGTGGAGTAAGATTTGGATGCACATGTCCAGGCTGTCTCATCCCATCTGCTCCATGGCCTTGGCCAGACCATGAAATAGAAAGATTTAGCCTTAACATTTGTTGTGAAATTACTTTTAATTTGTGGTGCTTCCCTGCCCCTCTACCATGTCTATTTCTCAAGGGTAGCGATTATAAATAGGATTTAATTACTAAAACTGTGTTTCTCATGCATTTGACTTACTGCACTGTCAAGTGGATGTTAACAAACAAATTCCCCCAAGCAGAGGTTTCATTCTGTCCCATCTCAGGGGAAAGCAAACAGCACCTGTGGGTGATTGCACTGATCAGGGAGCATCTCTGGCTGTGGCATACACCAGCACTTTGCATGCTCCATCCCAAAAACTGTGCCTTTGGACCTCACATGCAAAACTGGAGCTCTATGCAAAGCCAGCAGCTGCTGCCTGGTCTGGCATTACTGGAAGGAACAACATAGAACTAGATTTTGGGGAGAAGGTGGTTGTGGAATGTGAGTAAATGGAA